TTTCTGTAATAGATACTCTATCTTGCACAAAATTATTGGTGGTGACGACTTCTAACTGGTTATGTTAGGTTTAGAAGCACCAAATGATCTCTCTTTTTGCGTTTTCTTTCCTATACATACAAGCGGTAAAGTTGCTGATTCCTTATAGGAGTTTCTGAAAGGTTAAATAAATTTGGGTTTTAATATCTATTTTCTTAAATTTCATGAATTTCATTCGAATTTTGCTATTCATACTTCCCATTCTATTCTAGTGGTTTGTTCAATTCTGAACTCCCTAATTTGTGTGGCTTTCACTACTTTCATTCTAAGTAAACAAACTATAACCTTTTGTAACTGTCTTTAAAAACTGCCCGGTTCTTGGGAATTCGCTTAGCATGAGTTGAAGTCACAGCGTATGGAGTCTGCTCGATTCTTTTCTACCACGCTTTAAACGCTACCAGAAACTTGTTTACTTTTGACTTACCATGTGTTTACAAGGTTGCCTCCAATGGCATGGCCATATGACGTACCTGAGGCCTTCACCAAAAACATTCATTTGTGAACTAGCAAGGCTAAGGAAAAGAAGCATGGCCTTCGCCTTCGAGTAGTGTAATACAAAAAGCAGCGGGTGACAATTTATCTCAGCCCCACCGCGCTGGTCTAGTGGATAAGGCACTCTGCTGCTGACCCGCAGGTCACGCCATCGAATCCCGGCTGCGGCGGCTACATTTCTGATGGAGGTGGAAATGTTGTAGGCCCGTGTGCTCAGATTTGGGTGCGCGTTAAAGAACCCCAGGTGGTCGAAATTTCCGGCGGTATTCACTACGGCGTCTCTCATAATCATATGGTGGTGTTGGGACGTTCAACCCCACATATCAATCAAATCAATTTAGTTCAGTTGTTGAATATGATGATCTGTGTATATAATTAGTATATCGAAATTCTCAATATTAAAGTCATTTCACTTAAAAATGTTGATGACGATATGTGAGTTGTAACATCCCAAAACCATCATGAGAATATGAGAGACGTCGTAGTGGAGAACTTTAACGTGCACCGACATCTGAGCACACGGGAAAAATGCAGCTGCCGCAGCTGGGTTTTCATACCGCTGCCTACATGTCAGCAGCCGAGTGCCTTAGCCACTAGGTCATCGCGGTGGGGCGTTCCTCTCAAAGAAGCACATCTATTCAGTATGAGATATTGGCTCATTGAAAGTTTGAATACTGCTCAGAAAGCACGCCCTGAGCTTCCGTAGCCCACCCGTCGTTTCTGCGGTGCCACCAGAAAAACGTCATCGTGAACCAGAGATTACGATGATTTTTTTCTCAAACAATGCTCGTACCCACTAAGGAGGATCTGAAAAAAGTTAATTATTTGAGTTAGTGAGACGTTTTAGTATTCATCATTGAGGATTACGAGACAATTAACGTTTGTTTCTTGGTTTATTTCTTTCTTTCTATAAATGGCTTGTACCCACTTTGAGGAATTGGTCAAGAATGCAAATTTGAGGCTTTTAAATGTTATTTTATATACGATAGGTGATTAAAAAACAAAATAAAGAAACTCATTGACAATAACACGTCATATTTTCAATATAAACAACAGGTAATATGCTTTTGAGCTTGTATTCCAGTATGCCATAATAACATGATGGGAACACTTTTTAGAACTTCCATAGATTTCACCTAATAAAATTGCGAAGATTTAAAAAATACCAGATTTTAATGATACGCGTCAAATAGTCCCACTTTGTCTTTCTCCTCTTCATTGTCATCGTCTTCGAAAACGTAAGCGCCGATTTCACCTGCGCGGGAAACACTAGGATGGGCGAAAAAATTATTGGGCAGAGAGAGGAATAAATGGATAAAGAAAGAAAGAAAGAAAGAAAGAAAAAAAGAAAGAAAGAAAGAAAGGAAGAAGAAGAAGAAGAAGAAGAAGAAGAAGAAGAAGAAGAAGAAGAAAGGAAGATAGAGGAGAAGAAGAAAGAAAGAAATGGTACAATCTAGGAGAAAAACAATTCTTTGCTGGGCGAGATTTGAGCCGGTGCACACAAGATCTGAAGGGGAGAGGCCAGCAGAGGACCACCTCATATTTAAAATTGAAACGCCTCTTGAGTGCATTGCCGGGCAGATTCCAGTACAGACTACAAGTACGAAGCGAGCGCGTGCCATTTTTCTCGACGATCATTGCCACTGAAATCTCGCGGCTTGCTCTCGCGTGCGATCCTGAAGGCGCAAGATTCGCGAGACACGGTGGCTACCACGCGCACACGAACATTTCCAGCGCTACTGTTCATACGCGTAGCCGAGGCCTGTGACGAACTAATTGATTCTGGTTTCAGTCAACTGAGATCCGCCAAGCTTTTTGTCTACTGACCTCGCTCGCACGCGGAGTGACTGTTCTGAGCGGCGTGCCATCGCTCCGTTTGATTCCTCGAGGATCAGTCACCTGTTCTCAAGAGGTGAGTACTGAGGCTTTAATATTGGGTTACTGCGTTCAGTTATCACATATATTCAGTGGCGTAACTAGATAGGACGGCGCCCAGGGCAAATATATTTCCGCGCCCCTCATTATGCCCGTGATAATGTTTGTTATTATTATTATATTATTATTATTATTATTATATAATAATAATAATAATAATAATAATATTAATTATAATAATAATAATAATATTAATAATATTAATAATAATAATAATAATAATATTAAATAATATTATTATTATTATTATATTATTATTATTATTAGCGCTAATGTAGGCTTCCGCGATTGCCTACTGGCGCGCGGCGGGCCATTTCGGAGGCCAAGGGCCACCAGTTCTGATTTCGATGAGCTACGCCCGCGTTTTTGTATAGTATTTTTCTTTTTTTATTCAAACTTCCGGAAGTCCCTTACCCGTCATTGTTCTCTTCCAGTCCACACTGCAAAAATCTTGACGGCACGGGCGCTTCCCAGGCCCAAGTTTCTCGTACCTAAGCTTTCGCGCTATTTGTGCATCCCAAGGAATGCAGGGTGAGTACAAAACAAAGCAACCAGCTAGACACCGCGCCCTCGGGTCTGGTATGGGGGTTAAACTGGTCGGAGTGTTCTGCCGTTTCGCTCCGTTCGCTGTTCCATTGATGGAGGTCATCCTTGTGCGGCCGCATTCTTTCAGGGAAGTTCTTGGTTTCTCCAACGTACGAAGCGGGGCAGTCGGCACATGCTGTCGGGTACACTACGCTCTGCGCTTTTTTCGCAGGTGCGTGTTCTTTGGGCCAAAGGATGAACCTGCCCATGGCGGTGGATGGCATGTGGGAAACGTTGACCCCCGCCCTTCTATTGCTTTGCTGGCGCCCGCGATGCAGGGAATCAACAAACGTCGCCGTCGTGTCACGCTTTCTCCGTCTTTCCTCCAGAGAACTCTGCGAATAAACGCCTTTGTTTAGCCTTTGGTGCCGAGGTCACGGATTATATTCGCCCTTCCTTCCGCCGCTGCGTGGACGATTAGTCGTTGGACGATCGGCTATTTCGTTGGAGTTTTCTGTTCTTACTCAAAAAAGGTGCATTCGAACTTTTTTATTTTATTTTGTTTACGTACGTGGTTGGTTTCAGGGAAGCTTTCAGTAAGTGGTTTGGGAGGCTGGTGGGGTTCGCTGAAACTCATCTAACCCAGTGCTGCGGAGCACAAAACAAAGCTTAGCCGAGGGTCATGGGAAGGCACGGAGGTAGCGCAGCAAAATGAAAATAGAGGATCCTTTTCCCGATGCAAAAGCCATTGCGGCAACCCTTTCCTTCACCACCATCCCCACTTCCAGTCGTACATTACAACCTCGCCCCTCCCCCCTTCCAGGCGGTTTTACGGAAAAAAACATTGACAACCTTTCCAGGGGGCGCCAACCCGAGGACTCGGCTTGGCGCCCCCTCCCTAGTGGCGCCCGGGGCACTTGTACCCCCTTGCCCCCCCCTAGTTACGCCACTGCATATATTGCATGGCGTCCAAGCCATGAAGAAGGCTGAGCAGTAGTCGATAATAATAGTAATATTGTCGGTATATAATAAGGCACTCTGTGTCGGACCAGTGGTCTGGTGCTCTTCGCAAGTAAGCGGGTTTGATATTCGCCTGTCACATTTACGATTCAAAATAGTGCACGGGTTTACCTACACTTATAGGGACAACCACGCTGCTCTCGCTCTGGTAGAAATGAATCTGGGAGCTTACCCGCACTGGTGTTTTATAGCATCAGTGCTTAGCGTAAAGAGGGAGCTGTTAGCTGATATGACGAAACCTCTATGACAATACGTGCACGGTTGGCTAGCGTGAATAGGTTGTCTACTTGCCATTCGACGCTTATGCAAAATGTCGGTTCCTTGGTGAAAATGAATAAATCGCTAGAAATAGACCTTGGTAAACTGTATAATAGTTATTTTTTTATTTTTGCTTATTGCTAGAATATTTCTGCAAATTTTGGCTTGTTGTCTCGTGTTAGAGCACAAGCGTTGTTTTCACTCGATAAAAAAATACAGGCTAGAACTTTTGGCCGTTATTCAGAAATCAAAAAACTTTCGCAACCAAGGCAGCTACGAATATTCTGCAATTCACGCAATTTGTTCAACGTGAAGACGTACCCATGTTGTCTTCTTCATCGTTAAGACACGACACGTTCCAAAATGACAGGTTTCTGTAAGTGCAAAAAATCACATGCAGCACAGTCAAAAGCGTCCGCTTGGTTCAGCCATAAGGGCGAGGGGGGACGCGTCAATGGGCGCCTCCTCTCTATTATTGAAAAATGGGAGAAAATTTGTGTCCTATACAATAGGAAATCTTAGCACCCTCGTGCGCTTGCCTATGGGCACAGGGGACGCTTACGCCTGACTTCCGAACGCAAGAGAGCCTTATAAGTCTTGTTTCTTTGGCGACATTGTAAAACCACTCCTCTCGCGCAGGGCACTATAGCCAAGTACATCGCACATGCGCCAACATCGTGGTCGTAGTTTATCTCTGTTTTAAACTGTTGGTGTTTGGATACTTTTTGCAGGAGGTCACTGTCACCATGGCCTCATGTTCCGGAACCACAACTGACCTTTCTTTGAAGAGTGTACTCAAGGCGAGGACGGATCAGGACATGAATCGCATCGAGAAGCGGCTCTCTACGTTCGAGGGGTGGCTCTTCCAGGGCGAGGAATGCGCGTGCAATCCACAACGGATGGCTGAGGCGGGCTTCTATCACGCCCGCACGGAGAATGAACCAGACCTCGCCCGTTGCTATGTTTGTTACAAAGAGATGATCGACTGGGACTCTAATGACGAACCGTTAAAGGAGCACTCGCGGTCGAGAGACTGCGCATTCGTTCTCCTTCGGAAGAGGTGGGACGAGCTGACCTTAAAGGACTTCTTGGGGCTAGAAGCAGCCCGCGCCAAGAACAGAGCGTGGAAGCTCGCCAAGCTTTACTCAGACAACCTTGATGACGCCATGCGGAAGGTCCACCTCGAGATGGAAAATGTTGGGAGGAGGAAGCGATGAGCACGCGCCTGCGGCGTTTACCAGAAAAGGTGTTCGCGGCTGTGCACGCTTAACTCTCCGGCGCCAAGGTCTCTCATGTTTCTTTTTGTTTCTGTTTAATAAATTTATAAAGCAACTTTTATTCGGCAGTAGTGCTTGCTTTTAACAGAGCTTTTAATTTTTGGTGCAACAATACGGTGGGAACATCTTGTGTTCTATTCTATGCGGCGAAAACCTGTAGGCTTTGTGAGAAAGGTGGTGTTCCGCAAAACCATTGTAAGAAAAAAAATAAGATCTCCGTGTGCACTTGTCTTTTAGAAATCGTGAATAACCAACTTGCCCAATAAGCCATGGTGATAAAGAACAGCGATGTGTACAAGTTGGTGTACGCTCATGGGAAACATGAGCAGAGTGATGCACCCAAATCAAATGAAACACTGTGCCAGCGCGGGACAAACATTTATTCAGTTGAAATAATAGTTTTTTACCAACTTTATTCGTAGGTTATCTTATTATTGTCCAATTGATATTCAATACATATTTGAATAATTAAGTTTTCTGCACCCAAACTTGAATATCTTTTTTGCACATTACATTGACTTCCGGTTTATTGGCCGATTCCTTGTGGTGGGTACGTACCACAGTATATAGGTGCAAGCAAGCAAGCAATTCTTCAGAAGAGTCAAAGCGAAAGCTCCATGAGCGGTGTTTCTAGACCATTTCTAACACTCTTTAGGTAACTACTACAAGCGGCATTTCAGAAAACCTACTGCGCCGTAAATCATAATTTGTATGGAGTAGGGAGAAGGTATCAGCTACGTATTTGCGAGGAATTGTGTATTTCATTGATTCTGTTACTGATGACGATAAGAAATTATGCCCGAGTGTGCTATTGCACCTGAGCATACCACTACCTACTTATTACGCCATCGTAATATATCTTGCTGTTGCTTGGCTGTCCTAAACCTCTCTAATAAACATATTAACACTGTTTTTTACCCGACATGAAGCCGGCCAATAGGGTTTGTTCACCACACAGTTCAAGCACCAGTGTAGCTCAGTGGTAGAATATTGCGTCGACAAGCAGGAGGCTCAAAGTCAATTTACATTATGATCGTGGCTTCTTTTTGAATTTTTTTGTGTAACTGTGGGGATAGGCATTATCAGCAGCGGCAGTGGCACAACATGACGACGCCAAAAGAACCCTTGCTTCGATCGCACAACTATTTTTGCTGTAAACGTGCATTCTCAAATACACTGCAGGGCATTTCCTTTTACAGTAGAGCTGCTATCGTAGAGGTCCGCTGTGTGTCGTATATAGAAATATCACCCTGAACGAACAAAAGCTTAACCACTGCGCAATCACTCCGTACAGATGGTTAACCATTGAAGCTGAAACGTGCATTTTTAATCGGTCTTGGCCACCTGTCAGTTACCCCAGTTTTGTAATAGACAAGTATTTTGAATAATTGTATTTATCTCATTACTGTGAGACATCAATTATATAGGAAAGAGCAAGCATAAGCACGTGTAGAGCAAGGAGTGGTCAAGAAATAGGTGAAGGGGTAAAACCCAAGCAAAGCCAGGACCAGCTCTACTGGGAGACAGCCTGTGTTTGCTTAGTGGAAGCAGGGCTAACTTCTTCACAACCACGCTCATGTTCCTCTTTATTTTGCTTTCTCACTCATTTCTGGCTTGTATTTCTGGCTTGCTCCATGCAGCCCATCTTCACTTGAAAGTGCACATTGTATGAGCAATGCCGGCAGATACCGTGCATTTTGGTAATGTATGCCACTCGAAGCACTCCATCAGGAGCTTCCATGGTTTCTTTGTTTTGCTTGCAAGCAAGTATGAGGACGATTTAACGGAAGGTGAGTCGATGCGATTGTGTTGAGCTTGTATACGATGCATTTACTAGGCACTGTTGCCAAAATTGTTTATTGTTTATGCCTCAACGTCCACTTGGCACTTACGTTGCAACCGACGTCCGTTTTATTGGAGAGTACATAATGATTTATTGATCTGTGGGGTTTAACGTCCCAATGCCACTATAGAAAAGTACATAAACTGCGCTGATGTGAGTAGCAGAGCATGTAACATAGCATAAGCAGCATTCGTTTGGGTGTTTTTGTGTGTACGAGCGATGAACAATTAATTACTGTAGCTTTCCGAGTCATGGTAGTACCACCGCTGCAGACATTAGTGGAGCGTTTTACAACTTCTATTTTAATACTATTAGAATCTGTCTCATGCGGTCGGTTGTTGATAGTCGCTATACCGCGCATATGTAGCGGAAATTGAAATGCGAGGTTACCTGGCGAAGTAGCGATTTCATAGAGCTTTTTTTATGTGTCATGGTTTGGAAAATTTCGACACTGACTGTACAAGCACAATCACGTTAACCAAGTAGCAAGTTTGTGTGAGATCTTTTGAATTATGATCACTATTGGGCTCTCAAGGTTCAATATCGCGTACTTCGGCGACTGCGCACAAAAGTGTGACCACCACGCACAGTGGACCGTTCACACAGCTTTCTGCCATTTTTTCTGTGGCTAAGAGCTTCGATCTGTAAGTCTCTGCACTGTTTCACAGCAGAGCTCTTATGATCTAGATCGGCAGTGTTTCGCAAAAAGATTGTCATCACAATAAACTGGGACACGCTGTCTTCGTCCTCTTGCTCTTGTTCTGCTCTACTCCCGGAACACGTTCGCCGATTTATTCGGTGTGAAATGCAGTAACTCTGAAGGGCCAGATAACAAATGAAGAGAAAGATGAATGAGAAAGTGATAAATTCTCGGCGACAAGGCAGTCGAACCCACGCACTTGTGATTCATAGATGATAATAATAATTTGTGGGGTTTACCAATCCAAAACCACGAGATGAATATGAACGTTGCGGTGAAGGAGGACTCCGGCAATTTAGACCACCTAGGGTTCTTTAATGCGCACATAAATCTAAGTACATGGGTCTCACACAATTTCACCGCCATAGAAAATGCAGCCGCCACTGCCAGGATTCGATCCCGCGACCTTCGAGTTAGCAGTCAAGCGCCACAACCACTCCATAACTGCGGCGGGGTGATTTGAAGCTGAGTTCTTGGCAACTCAGTTATTCAGGCACGTTTCAAAGGTATAGCATATTCTTTTATAACGTATATTAACATAGGGGTGGGAAAGAGAAGTTAGGATAATGAAGTGATGTTGAGAAGCAGAAAAACTTTGAGGGCAGTACAATTACAGAGCGGAAAAGAGAAGAGAAAGAGAAATACTAATAAAGACGGATAAAAGAAAGACATGTAAAAGAGAGAGAGAGAAAGGGAGAGAGAGAAAGTAATGAACTTGCATAGTGAGAACACATAGCGCATCATATATTTAAACAGAGAATTTTAATAATATAGAACGCATATTCATATCTGCTTTAGCAAGAGGTGGGAAACAAAAAAAGTGTTAGGGTAAAAGCCTAGCCACGCTGCAGGACCAGCTCTCCTGTCTGTGACTCAGGCATGCACGACTTAGTGCAAGCTGTGCCTTTTTTGTTTTTTTAATGCGGAGCTTTTCTTAAACGCACGATGTCACGCGTCGGCAGCGATGTCCACACCTACACTGCGCATGCCCGCGCCCCGCGTATCGTGCCGCATGCTTGCGTCTTAGGCCGACGGTTTGCTCCCCCCTGTCTCATCTCGCGAGGCCACCGCAGGCAGCGTCTGCTAGTAAAAACCAACTGCTCGAGCTGCTCAACCCTTCACTGGCCGCCCTGTATATGTAGGCACTTGATTGCACCGAAGCGTCCCACCACTCGTTTAAGGCAACGCTTCTCCTTCATTCAATAAACCGGAATAAAAAAGACACGTTAACAATTAAGCATTCCCAAACCGTACGCAACTACACAAAATTCACGCCATACCTACTCCCCCCTTTGCTGCGCGTTTACTCGAGTTCGTCAGTAGGAAGATCCGGCAGGCATTTCTTACTTTCTCTCTTCGTTCCCTCTTGTTGTACACCACACCTACTGGAATACACTTTGAAGAGATGGCGCACCCTTTGCAGGCCCGAACGAACGCGTCCATTTTCGAAGGTCTGGGCGTGCATTGGGAGACTGACAACCCCTAGCCATTCGACTTCTCTGACACCATTCAATCAGTCTTCCAAAGTAAACGTGTGAAGTATTTGATGATAGCTTTCAAAGTTTGTTATCGCGTGTACTTCGAGGCTTCCGTGCATCTGCACCGATCGAGGTGGCATGGTTAACGTTACGAACGCCTCCAATTTGTAAGAACGGCTGTCCACTTGGGGTATTTGCATTTCGTATTTGTGCTGAGCATATGTTCGACATCCATGGTGGTCTATCTGGTATAGTTCGTCTTCTTCCTCAAAAGTGGCAGTTTCGAATTCCGGCTGAATCGCTGTATTTAGATTTAAACAGGGAGACAGACTCACGAGATACGTGCTAGCAGACCACAGTGTGTGTCCACTTTGTGCTCCATATTGTTTATGCTGAAAAGTTTTTAATAATGCGTCAGTTCCACCTTGCCCACCTCTCCTATTTACTGCTCTCATAGCTGTCGCGGCTTAGATATCTTATGTATTGCATCGTGTCCACGCAGCGACAGAAACGGAGGTGTAATGGTTTTTAATGTCAATATTGGTGGTACTGAAGGCCCTCTAAGTTAGTTCAACAGAACCACTTCAACGGATGTTGCAGACTTTGATATAGGCCTGCCATTTTCAAAAAGATGGAGATTGGAAACAATTCACGGGCATACGTACATTCATGATGAACCCCTACTACCTTCTTCGTCATTAAAAAAAGGAATATCGTCTTCCCCGACGTTGAATTTTGTCTCAGCACTTATCGATGGTTTGCAACTTGTCAAGAACAGTTCGACAACAGACAACACATGACACAAGCAAGTGCACTCGGTTACCGGACAGAACACCAGATAAACTACAGTACAACATATACCTAGCTACGCGTCTATCGGAATTTTCTTCCGTATACATCAAGACGCACATGTGGGACA